AAGGCGATCTGACTACTTTTCCTGCGAGAGTGAAGGAGCCTCTGATCATTTGTTTCTCTGTTCTTTCCAACCCAATGAGTAGACAGAAATGTTTTGTATAGTGATTTTCTTCATTCTGTGTAAGATATTGTTCTGCCTGCTGTTTGCATTTTGAATTATTTTGTTTGCTTTTAAATCAGAAAGACAAGAACGGTGTCGAGGCAAGCTTTTTCACAGATCCCACCCAAAATTCTCCTAGAATGTGATTCATTTTAAAAAATTAATAAACGAAACCTTATATGATAATTTCAGTAGCTGCAGAAAAAGAATTTTATAATAGTCAATCTTTCATGGTAAAAGCTCTTAACAACCTAGGAACAAAAGGGAACTTCCACAAACTTATTAAGTTTATCTATTTTTTAAAAAATTAACAGCTAATGTCATACTCAATGCCAAAAGTCTCAATGTTTTCCACCTAACATTAGGAAAAGATGTTCTCTAACACCTCTTCTATTTAGCATGGCAACGAAGGTGGTGGTGCATACAAACAGAAATAAAAGGTCAACAGATTTGAAAGGAAGAAGTAGGTTTGCCCTTACTTGCAGGACATCATTATGTATGTTAAAACCCCAAGATCATCTATTTTTCAAAGTTGACTACAACTGAAAAATGCATTGACACAAAACCAACAGACAAAATTAATTTTCCTTTTATATACTAGAAACCAACAAATAATGAAATGAAACAACAATACCATTTAAAACAGCATAAAACATTAGAAAATTTTGGAATTGGTTTATTAAAAGACATACAAAGTCTGTACATGAAAACTACTGAAATTGCAAAGTGAAGTTTAAAAGGATCTGAATTTCATTTTATTTATGATTTTAAAATTTATATATATAAAAAAGGGGACCTAGACTAGCCAGTATAATTTTGAAAAAGCAAAACAAAGTTCGAGGCCTTAAACCACTTAATTTCAAGACTTGCTGTGGAGTCACTGTGACCAACACAAGGTGGTATTGACGTAAGAATAGACTTATAGGTAAATGGAATGGGATATAAAGTTGGGAAACAGAAACCCACACATGCATAGGCACTTGATTTTTGACAAAAGTATGCTAAGGTATTTCAGTAGGAAAAAGATAATCTTTTCGTTCGGGACTAGCCTAAGAAAGAGCGAGACCCAGTCTCTACTAAAAATAGAAAGAAATTAGCTGGACAACTAAAAACATAAAGAAAATATTAGCCAGGTGTGGTGGTGCATGCCTGTAGTCCCAGCTACTCGGGAGGCTGGGGCAGGAGGATCACTTGAGCCCAGGAGTTTGAGGTTCCTGTGAGCTAGGCTGACACCATGGCACTCACTCTAGCCTGGACAACAAAGTGAGACTCTGTCTCAAAAAAAAAAAAAAAAAAAAAAAGGATAATCTTCTCAATAATATACTGGAATAACAAGTGAGGTATGTGACTGGGAAGAAATTAAAAAATTTTTTAATTTAAAAAAAAGATAATCTTTTCAACAATATACTGAAATAACAAGTGAGGTATGTGACTGGGAAGAAATTAATATTGATGCTTACCTCATATGCTGCATAAAAAGTAACAAAAATTTGATCATAGACCTAAAAGAAAGAGCTAAAATTATTAAACTTCCAGGAGAAAACATGAGAGCAAATCTCTGTGACATTGGGGTAGGCAAAGATTTCTCAGGACACAAATATCAGGTTATCACAAGAGAAAAATATCAATAAAATGGATTTCATCCAGATTCATAGTATTTTTTCTCTTCTAAAAATGTAATTGGGGAAATAATAAGGAAAGTCATACACTGGTAGAAAACGCTTTTAAAAAAAACACATCCAACAAAGACTGGAATCCAGAATCTATAAAGGGCTCAATAATAAGTCTTGAAAAAACTTTAAAGGGGCAAAATGTTTGAATAGATACTTTGCAAAAAATCTCTATAAATGACCAATAATCACATGAAAAGATGTTCAGCATTGCTGGTCGTCGTCAAAATGCAAACCATGACCTCAGTGAGTCCCACACACCTGCTGGAGAGGCTAACGGTTAACATTGACAGTGCCAGCTGACGTCAAGTTACCGGTGTGCACATGAGTCTTGTACAGTGGCTGGTGGAGATGCAAAATGGAAACCAGTTTGGCAGTTTCCCATAAAGTATAAACATGCCCTATGACCTAGCAATTTCATGCCTAGATACTTACTCAAGAGAGATGAAAACATGTATCCACCCAGAGACTGGAACACGAGCGTTCATAGCAGCCCTGTTCATAATAACCGGCACCCGGCAGCAGTCTAGAACAGGCGTCCTCAAACTACGGCCCGCGGGCCACACGCAGGTGTTTTTGCCCGTTTGTTTTTTTTACTTCAAAATAAGATATGTGCAGTGTGCATAGGAATTTGTTCATAGTTTTTTTTAAAACTATAGTCCGGCCCTCCAATGGTCTGAGGGACAGTGAACTGGCCCCCTGTTTAAAAAGTTTGAGGACCCCTGGTCTAGATAGTCATCAATACATGAATTCGAATGTACAAAGTATTGAGGTATATCAGTGCTATAGACTACTTCACAATATAAAGGAGTGAAACATTAATGTATGCGACAACATGCATACATCTCAAAATCATTATGCTAAATAAAAGGAGATAAATACAAAGACTGCGTAGTGTGTGATTCTATTTTTCAGAAACTCCTGGAACGGCAAACCTGTATAGTACAAAACAGAGCAGCGGTTGCCGGGGGCGATGGGTGCGGTAGAGGATGTGCAAAGGGGCAGACAGGCTTTTCAGGTCTTTATTATGATAGAATCATTTCTAGATCGCTTGTGTTTTGTGTTGTTTTTGTCAATGGAAAAAATACTAAAAAATTGTTGAAAGTACCTAGATAAATGGAAAAGTGGACCGAGTCCACAAAAGGAAGATTCATTGTTGTAGAAATGGCTGATATCCATTGTGATATACACTTGAACAGTGAACATCAGTGAAAAGTAAGAGTTCAACACAATATGGATTATATTAATCTTAGAAATACAATGTCCATTACTAAGTAACATTAAAGCAAATATCACTTTATTAAGTTCAAACGAAAGCAAAATGAAACAACATATTATTTAAGGGTACATAAGTATGTGATGAAACTGTTGCATAAAAGTCATGGAATGATAAAATTCAGAGGGGCATAAAGAAGAATGGGGCAAGAAAAATATTTAATGCTTTATTAGAGGGATTTGTTCTGTAAAATTTGGATTCACTCGAAAGGCTGCACTCAAGGATCCAGAAGGCCACATGTGCCTCAAGGCCGCAGGTTCCCCGCCGCTCTGTGGTTTCATTGGTTTCACTTTAAACATGAACATATATTTTCTTTTTTGAGAGAGAGAGAGTCTCACTTTGTTGCCCAGGCTAGAGTGAGTGCCGTGGCGTCAGCCTAGCTCACAGCAACCTCAAACTCCTGGGCTCAAGCAATCCTCCTGCCTCAGCCTCCTGAGTAGCTGGGACTATAGGCATGCACCACCATGCCCGGCTAATTTTTTCTATGTATATTAGTTGGCCAATTAATTTCTTTCCGTTTATAGTAGAGACGGGGGTCTCGCTTTTGCTCAGGCTGGTTTCGAACTCCTGACCTCGAGCAATCCTCCCGCTTCGTCCTCCCAGAGTGCTAGGATTACAGGTGTGAGCCACTGCGCCCGGCCTGAGCATATATTTTCTGTACATCAAATACAGTACTCCATGATCTTAAGAAATTCTCGTGTTTCGGCCTGTTAGTAATGTGTGGGGCGGGGCGGAGGCCAGGAACACTCCCAGGGATCCGTAGTGATACATCTTCTTCCGTGTAAGGCATGGATTTTAGAAACTCGCTCAGAGCAACAGCTAGTGAATAAAGGGCCGTGAGGTGGTCATCAAATTCAGTTGTAGCCTTTTTTGCAACTCTGTTAGTAACTTAGTAACAAACTTAAGTGCTTTCCAGAAAAGAAACTTTAAAATTTGTTGTATAAGGGCAACTTTGCTGAAATGATTGAATAGGTTCCCATGGTGACTGCTTTTAACGGAAGACAGCTCATTAGATAAATGTACCTTGGCGTGTTTGCTTAAAAATGACTCATTTGATTTGTACATGAAAGTAGTAACAGGAAAATAAATGAAAGCAATTTCACCTGAATATCTATTAGTAACTTTAGCACTGAACTTTTTATTAAATTGCTTTTGAATTCATCCAGTCTGCATAATGTTTTTCAGCCATCAGCTATTACAGTGCACAATGCCCTTCCCATCCAACTGGCTCGGAGTTACCACCTTCACTCGCAAAGAGAGTTTTCCTTCTCCCCCTGTGCCCTCCTCTACAGCAATCCTACCTTTCAGAGCGTTTACCCTTTCATTCACAAGACATGTACATGTGTGTACGTTCACATGCATACTATTTAATGTAAATGTTCTTGTTCATTTTCTTAGGGGATAATTGAAATCTTAGCTGTTTAGATACAAAAGACCAGAGTCACTGATGATACAATATGTAGATTCAAAGATATTCATGGCAGTGAAACTGCTAGATCCTCTAAGAGCAGCAAGGGGAGTTTGTGGACCAAATGGGAGCATGTTTTGCAGAACAGAGTGTAGACATTACGCATACAGATTTACTCTGAACTTTCAGATACAGGAAATCAGTCCCCTTACTAACTATTGTCTCTCACCCCTTCTGGCAGCTCATATCTTAATCTGCCCTGTGTCCACTCTGCGTATATAGCCCCAGAAAGTTCTAGAATGGTCTGAAAGTTTTGTGTGTGTGTGTGTGTGTGCCTGTGTGTTCTATGTTAATGTGCAGAGCAGAGAAGTTTCAGAAGAAGCATCTCGTGAGACTCTATCAAGAAGATCTGGGCATATTGCACCATATGTGAAAAGCAGCTTGTCTTTTCCCCAGAACTAGTGAATTTATTTTACTTAAGTGTTCATCAAAAGCCTAGGTGAGTTCCTTGATGTTTCATATTTCTTTCCTGTTTCCTCTCTTGTAGACACAGAATTCATCTACCGAGAACAGAAAGGAACAGTGATTCTGCGGAATGTTGAAACAAATATTTCCACTGTGTTAATAGAAGGCAAAAAAATTGTAAGTACTCTCTTTAATGACCAGGATAATTTTGGTTTTTCCTCCTGCAAGTCAATAAAGCAGAAAATGACTTTAGGTTTCAACTTTTAGTATAGCCAAGAAGAAGCAATAAACTTGTAATACTACAGGCTGAGCAACTAAGGATAATGTGAAATTGAAACCACACTAATTTAATAAGATGAAAGCACAGTTTCTTTCTCTGTCCGGGAAATTTATCTGCAGGTGTTGGAAACAAGTGTTGCGTATCATATATAATTGAAAGATAAAGTCCTAAGGCTTTTACACATTTACAGAACAATTGCAGTAACGCATATAGAATACTTCAGGAGAACTTGCTCAATCTAGTTTTAAAAAAACACCTCATCTGCTCATGCACAGGAGGTATTATTAGCTTAGGCACTGTGACTGTACTTACTCTAATGATACTAAGTGACGCTTATGCTTCAAAACCAATACTGAGCCAATGTGGCTATATGAATGCCACTGCTTTATAAACTGGGAAAACTTGTTTTCTCAAAGATTTAAATGACATTAAAATGTTGGGATCATGTACAGTTAAAGATATTTATTAAAAAGATTGACCAGAGTTATGTACTAAAAATTAATTTAAGGAGAATTGTTTACAATGTGTTCATGCTCATTATTAGAAGAAATAAATCCCCTACTGTAAGGTGTTGATCCTTTCCTTATGTTATTCACTGGGGAAATCGAAGGAGGCGACTCAGGCCAAATCTATGTTTAAAAGTAAGAAATGGTAACTGCTGCAAATTCCAAGTCAGAACCATCATGACAGGGCTCTCTGGCATGAATCAGAAATGCAAAAGTCCTAGAATCCAGGATTAGAGGAGATCATTGAAAAAAATTAGTCAGTTCTCTGGTTTTACAGACACTGATCCTTTGTCCAGAGTTGATGCATGAGCTTTCCAGAGTCCTGCAGCTCACTGGCAGCTGCGCTAGCACTCGGCTGGGCCCCAGGAGCCTCGGTGCCAGGTAGAAGGAACGATGGCTTTGTCTTGAGGCCACCAGTCCCCGGACCTGTGGTAATGCTGCTCTGCCATCTTTTCTCTCCTAAATCACATTTAACTTGCTGTTGAAATACTCGTATTTCTCTTTGTTGTAAAAATACCTTTTTCTTAAAATAAGTTTACTGAGGTTTAGTGTTAAATGGATTCTACCCTTTACATCTACAGCAGGTGCAAGGGAGGCCTCGAATGTTGGATTATGGTATATTTCAATAAATGATCACATTATTGAATTAAATAATATCTTGCCAACTAAGACCTGGAAAAAATGAGTGTACCTGCATTTTTGCATTAAAGAATCACCTTTGGTAGAATTACTCCCTTAAGAAAATCTGATTCAACCCACTTAAAAATACTAAAGTTGCAGAAATGGTTTTCTAATGTTAATCGAGAGGAAAAAAACGATCAAAATATTGCTGAGGGTAAGTTCATTTTAATGTCAGAATGTTAATAGTATTTCCTGTGAGGATGTCAGTTTAGTAAAGGGAGGGCACGGTACATACAGCTGCACTTAGCAATGGAATACATGAATATGAACCACTTTCTCTTTCTAAAATCAATGGCTTGTAACAGATCATATATTTTAACTGGAGTTGTTTTAGCCAAGTAAGAAGGTGACTTCAGAAACAACTGTAGGTAAAGAAAAGTCCAAATCTCACAAGTTAGCTGGCTTATTCATATAGAATTGCAATATATAAATGCAATCTTTTTGTCCTTAAAACGTCATTTATTCACTCATTTTACAAACATTTATTGAGCACCAAATGTTTATAGCCTGATAAATTCATTATTCTTGTCTCAAAGCTACATTTAAATGCTCCTATAAACAGATCTCAAAATACAGAAAACAGAAGATATGTCATTTAGAAGTCTAAATACTAAGTTAGAACACAGAAGCTCTGGGTTTAATTTCCACTGAGCCAGCTACTCATTTAAAATTATTGTGCTTCAGTTGCTCCATCTCCAAATTAAAGCTAATTTCTTCTGCCAGCCTAGGGCATGGGTCTTCTGTGAGATCCGGCAGTGGAATGTTTGTATACTCTATGTGTTTTCATGGGCAAGTATGGAGAAAGTAAAGCCTGGTGTTCCAAAGGGGCCAGGGTTTGTCGGATTGGATCACCGGTAGCTGGGAGGATGACAGTGGGCGTGGACAGGGAAGAGCAGTATGGGGCATTCGCTCTTCTGCGTTCTGTTCTCTTGCCTTCCTGATGACTAGCTGGGGTGTCTCTTCTCATTTGAATTCCAAGAACTTTGAGCTTGTGTGAATTATAAAAGCAACCTGAGGCCAGCTGTAAATTTTAGGTTGGTCTGTAAAACAACCTGAAACAAGTAGAGAAATGAAAAAGAAGTGATGAATTCTATGATCAGGAGAATTTTAAAATTATTTCCACTTTGAACCATCGTTGGTCCAGAATGCTGCCCAGAAATAATAAAATAAAATATTCCCTAAAACCTTGACCTCTATCCTCATTCCTTTTTCCCAGGCAATAAGACAGACACTTCCCCTAGACAGTCACTTTAAGGTCCCCAAACCTATCTGCCTCCAGCCTCTTCCTGGCTCCTTGGCTTACTGTGATTGGCTCTTTCTCAGGACAGGAGGATGGAACAGCGTACGAACCAATGCAAGCAGTGTATCAGTCCAGCAAAAAACTTTTGAGATCATTGACAATTATGCAGATGTAAAACTTGTGCTAAGTGCTATACTTATATGGATATATCTCACCCTGCCTTCCCCATACAACTTCTTTTGACTATAAGTTCTAATTCAATCATCCTTTATCATGCTTTCAAATGGTAAAAATCACCAAATATTTCAGAATACCACAAACACTTTAAATTGTGAGTTCATGTATGTGTATACATTCAACATTCTGTGATGATGACATGGTCCATGCTGGTTTTTGGTTTTTTTTTTTTTTTGCATTCTTTCAATTTTTTTGATAGTGGAATATTTTCAGATCCTTATTATTCATAGCATATCATATTTGATGGTATTTAACAATTGGTTTTTAGGAAATGTTTATCAAAATATTTTGCTCCATTTTTCTATTTTTAAAATTGTTTGAAGTATTCCTTTAGATTTCTATAGGGAATGAACTAAATAAAAGTATGGCTGCCCCCAGAGTACAAGCACACCTTCTATGAAAGAGCTCTGCTGGGCTTTCAGGTCTGCTCTCAGCTGTTAGCTCTTCTGAGGAAGTTCTGCCTTAGATTTAATTTTGCCTTCCACACAGTGCTCAGCGCCATGACCTGTGCATAGTAGGTACCCTATTGCTGTGTATTTTATGAATGACTATTAAAGGATAACAAAGCCAATAGAATTGAGCAGCTTTCCAGAAACATCCGTGTGGGTGAGGGGTTTGGAAAGGCAGTTCAGCACAAGGGTTATGACCTTGAGTTTTGGATCTACCTCCCATATTGGAATTGCACTCTGCTCAGTAACGACAGGACCTCAGGCAGTTGTTCAAGCTCCCACACCCCAGTCTTACCTCTCAGGAGTGCTTAAGGACCAGATCATGTGTAACATGCTGGAATGTGGGCTTCCAGAATGTTAGGATAGATGGGAGAGCCTCAGGGCGCAGGGCCTAAGCAGCAGGAGTGGCGTGGTTCTAAGCAAGAAGACACTAAGGATGACCATGTGTGAAGGAGCATGGTGAGAACACTCTGCTGGGTGCAGGCGGCCCCGTGGGTGCAGGCAGCAGGAGCAGATAGCACAGTCTGCACTGCCGTGATTTGGAGCTCCTTCCCTGTAGAAGAAGTTGGGTCTAGGCTGCGTCCCTGAGTGAGGCAGAGTCATCAAAAGCTGGTATATTATAGCAAGAAGCACACTCAGATTTCTAAAAATAAATTAAAAGTCAAACCTAAACTTTCACTTGGATTACATGTTTGATATCCCAGGAATTCTAGCACATTATATTTTAAAAATAATTTAAATGTCAAATTTAATGTTATTTTATTTTTATGCTGCTTGTAAGAATCTTGTCAACAAATTAAATGTTATAAAAAGACCTTTGTTATAAATCTTTTTTTCCCCTAAAAACTTAGCCACTATAAACATATCTCATGGCCCAAAATGGGTTTTTGGGGTGTGGCCAGTGATCACACCTGGTTCCTGAAAAATCTCCTGAATCTTTTGTCTAGTAATGAGAACACTGACTTCCTTCTCCTTTCCCTCCCTCCTTACCTCCATCCACCAGGCTCTCCTTCCTTCCTTTCCAGTGGAAGTGCTCTTAAAATGGTCTTAATACATTTACTCAATTTGATTACATAGATTTCATAGGGACTGTGATTCTTACGAAGATTTAACACCATTTCTCTAAGTCTTCTAAAACATAACAGGTCAGAAATTCTCAGCATAAAAAGTTTCACTTGTGCTTCATATTTAGATGTTTTAAAGCTTGAACAGCCTTTGGAGCTTGTGTCGTTCAAACTCTTCCTTTCCTGAGTGAGGAAACCAGGAAGGTCTACAACCACGGCAACTGAAGGATGAGCAGCTTTATGTCCCATAAAGGGTCCACAGCCTGCGGAGTGGCCATGCTTGAATATTTGTAAAGGGAGATGTGCGCGCGTGCGCAGTCGAGCTTCCTCCTACGTCAACACAGCCGCGTTCAGAAAATGGCGGCACTAGCGTCATCAGGGGGCGGCGATTTCGGCCTCTGACGTCAAAAGGTGAAGCAGAGGGCAGAAAACCCCTCACTGTGCTTCCTCCTAGACCCGCCAAACATGTGCTATAGTCGGCGGCCCTCTTCAGGAAGGAATGCTGGTCAGTTTGGGGCCGAAACCCCCGAAAGGGAGGTGCTGGTGCATGGTGGCCGAGATGAGGGTGGAGGCTGTGCAGAGGCCGGTGGTGGCGGTGCTGGTGGCCCTGGGGACCCCACAGATACCACAGAGGAGGGCGGTAGCGGGGTGTTGTGCGTCCCCTGGTCCCCAGGGGCCAGGGACTCAGCCCTAAGACCTCTCTGGAGTCTCCTTGGCCAAGAGGGGTCTGTTCAGTTGTTTAGGGGGCTTAGGATTTTAATTTCTCAAACAACTCTGGCAGGACCTCCATTGGTAGTGCTGTTGATCCAACGGGCCAGTTCAGAGTAAATCCCTGTATTGACCTGTGACGCTCATAGTTTATATGCCCTTTTTATCGATACTACCAGTGGTGACAGGATGAACACAGTCATGCTTTGTATCATTTCAGTGGTGCCAGGTGTTTGGAGAGCAACTTGGCAAATACACTTTAAGGGCAGGGAAAATACTGCTGCATTTTTGTTTATTCCAGGAAATTTTACATAAGTAAATAATCTAAAACAGTTTATGAACTCTATGAAGTTGCAGTATTATTTATAATGAAAATATCTGAAACTCGGAAAACGAGATAAGTAAAAAAATAAAATATGTGGCTATTAAAATAGTAGCTATGAAGGCCATGTAATCATACAAAAGAATACAATGTAATACTTCTATTAACTATATTTATTGAAAAGGCTAGGAAGTGAACACTGAACTATGAAAATAGTTAAATCTTGGGTGGTAAAATGCTGTGTATTATTTTCTAGTATGGTGATTTCCATAATTGCTATTTCAATGCCATTTATTCAATAATTTTAATCAGAATTTTTAAAATTCAGGCTCATGTTTCAAAGAGATTAGACTTCCTCAACAATGAATATGTAAGAGTAGTAGACAGTTCCCGGAAATACTTGAAAGGGAAAATAAGTCGATTAAAAAAAATGATTCTGTTGTTATGCTTATATGAGGTTTTCTCAATTTTTATGTTTTTTTAATTACTAATTTACTTGTTTTAATTACTTATTTTAATGACTAAATTAACCTTTGAATAAGATTTTTGGTTTCTCTAATTTTTCTCCCTTTGATTTTATGTAATATCTATCTATCTATCTATCTATCTATTTATTTATTTATTTATTTTGAGACAGAGTCTCACTTTTGTTGCCCGGGCTAGAGTGCCGTAGCATCAGCTTAGCTCACAGCAACCTCCAACTCCTGGGCTCAAGCGATCCTTCTGCCTCAGTCTCCCGAGTAGCTGGGACTACAGGCATGCACCACCATGCCCGACTAATTTTTATATATATATATATGTGTGTGTTTAGTTGGCCAATTAATTTTTTTCTATTTATAGTAGAGATGGGGTCTCGCTCTTGCTCAGGCTGGTTTCGAACTCCTGATCTCGAGCAATCCACCCGCCTTGGCCTCCCAGAGTGCTAGGATTATAGGCGTGAGCCACCGCACCCAGCCTTATGTAATATTTAGATGTAGAATTTGAATTTTTATTTCACTCTCTAAAAATTAAGCAATTCTGACTCCTCGCAGAAGAGGACATAATTAGGCAAGTATTATTAAACCCATTCCAAAATAAGAACAAATAATAGGCCTATTTGTGCTACCAGAGGATCTCTAGAATTTGGCTGAGATTAGAACATGAGACCACTTTCCTTTCACTTCATTCAGTGGACTCCACTGGGTGCTTGACCTTCACATCAGTCATTCTCACTTCATTCTCCTTCATGAATTTCCCTCAAGTGTTGCTGCTTCCTCCTTTCAGCCCCATGGGGGGGGTAAATTTGGGAGGAGCAAGAAGCTGGCTTCCAGGCTTCTTTCCCTTTTCTGTTCTCTCCAGAGCCCAGTGTGCTGTTGACAGGGAGCACAGGACACTCGGACAGGTGTCCCAGGCAAGGACAATCCGGCCCAAGGGCAGTGGACAAAGCCTAAGGCCAGCTCCTGCCGTCCTGGGCTCACTGTGCTGCCTGTGGCGGGGATAGCTGTTGCACAGGCCTCAATGGCCTGTGGGCCGTTTCTAATCCTAGGTGGGATTTCACTTCACACCTAGGTGAAAACCACCCAGGGGAAGTAGCTTTGTTTTCCTCTACTGTTTTGTCTGCTGTTGTGGGGGCGGAAACTGACAGGCAACTTATGATGCTCACTGGAATGTTTTGTTTGGCCCACAGAGTGGTTTTTATGAACTTGAAACCCAGATTTCTGGCATCTCTTGAAAAAGAGATCTGGCAGCAGCCAGTCCTCATTTTCTCACAGAACGCACAGTTTGGCAGGAGCCGGGAGGCAGCTGGCCCCTCACACAGGACTGAGCTGGCCAGTCCCACGGGAACCCACACTCCTGACTTCTAACCAGACTGGCCTCCGAGTTCCAAACCCCTTTGCAGTCCAGGAACAAAAGGATGACATTAGAAAATCTACGTCTTTTGCAAGAACATTATAAAAAGTCTTGGTGCAAACTGTCTCCTCCACATCTGTTTCTGTGTCCATGTGATATTCTCAACCCTCCCCCCCCCCATCTTTTCCTTTTTTCTCCTGTCTCAGGTGGTCTCTTTTTGTTTCTTTTCTCTTTTATCCTCCTCTCTTTTCTTTCTTTTTTTTTTTTTTTTTACTTACTATAACATAGGTAGAAAATATTTTTGTTTTCTATTCTATTTTTTTCCAATGTTTACTTCATAGGTTATTCTTTTAATTTTTAAAGTAAATGAGTAGAATATTTTTATACTTGTATCCTGAAAATAAGTACAGCAGTGGTTTAATCTTTCTGGCTGCAAGGCCCCTGCTCCCTGTAGGGTGAGGGTGGCACTGCCCTTCTTCCACCAGGCCTGCGCTCTGCCCTTTGGCCCTCAGGCACTGCCGCCTCTGGGAAGCCCTGGCAAGACAGGGTGGGTGGATGGATACAGTGATTAATCACACACAGCTTGTACTCTTAGGCAGCTTTAAGCCTAGTTCATTTAAAAGAAATGAATGTTAGAACATAATTATTCTGCTGTAGAGGCACAACATGCAGTGAGAACCGGGTAAGAAAGAAGAGGATTACTGTCAACTCTACATAAGGGTTTGAAGAGCCAGCCCGTCAGCCGTCCTTGCATTTGGGAGACACGTGGGAAATGGCATCGTAGGCAAAACGAACAGGGTGGGAAATCCACGTGTCGGAAACAGACAGTGTGAGGAGGGGCTTGGAAGGTTGTGGTTTAAAGGCCCAGAAAAAAAGATGCAGCGAGGCCTTGTAAGGGAAAATGCATTTGTACAGGCAGTAGGTTTCCTAGGCCAAAGAATGAGATGACTGCCACAGTGTTTGGCCCACCCCTGCCCTCCAGCAAGGCATGGGTCAGCACGTTTATATAACCAAGGTGTTATCTCCTGTGTGAACCCATGTGATCACGCTTTCGCTTGGCATGTTGCCACTATTGTTCTGAGCCATATATAAGCGCTCACCATGTTCTTGCTGTGCACTGTCTCATCTGCCCCCATGTCTCTCACCTCTTCTTTCAATTCCTGAAGCCTGCGCAGGTGCACTCTCTAGCCTCAGAGCCACCTCCCCTCAGGCCTTCAGGAGCCTTCCTTGTTGGTCTAGGCTTTACTCTTCTAGCAAATGGGAAGGGATAGAATTTTTGAGCAGGACAAGCCAGTGGGCTTTAGGAAAACAACAGGACAAGACCAATAAGAAAGGGGATATGGAGAAGGGAAAGATTACAGGCAAGGAGTCCCCAGCAGTTGCTTCAAGCCCAGGTGGAGGCAGAGGAGGTCCTGAATTAAGGCCGTGGCTTTGAAAACGCACAGGGGATAGGGTTTAAGTTGCATTATGGGGGTGGAATTAATAACACTTGGCTACATTTTGTGTGCAGGTGGGTGAGATTGCAACAATGGTGTGTGTTGAGCCTCCTTAATGGGCAGGTGTTGAACTCAGAAACTCAAGTGGGGAGAGTGATGGATTGTAGAGTGGAAAACTAAGGCCACTTTGGGGAAGAAGATAGTACAAGGCATATGCAGAGTGAATTAACCAATAATTGATATTCTGAGTGCTTGGGATGTGACCAGGAGGAACCTAAGCACTATGCACATATTATTTTATTTCATTGAAATCCTTAGGAATTCTGTGAGCTTCAGTACTTTATTATTTTAAAGATTAGAAAACGAGGCTAAAAGATCTTTTGTCTCAGTCACACAGCTCATAGCTCGTAGTCCTGAGAGCTGAACTCAGCTTTATCGAATACCAAACTAAATACTTTCTGGATTTCATAAAGGGTCCAGCTGTAGTCTTAGTCACTGCAGTTGTAAAGTGGGATTGAGGCCATCATTGCTTTGCAGAGAAGGATGCCACAGCTTTAAACGCGTGGCTCATGCCTGTGAATCTGCCCTTACACATTTGCAAGGTTACTCCTGGAGGCCACTGCATGTTGCCCTGAAATACAGGCTCAAGATGCAAAACCTTGAATCAGTTTCGCCTAATGGAAAAAATGCTGATGCAGCCGAATCCTGTGGGATGATCTGTTTCAAGGTTAGAGAGAGCTCAGCTGTAAACTATCTGGACACATTTTCAGTGGTGGATGTTTAATCTTCCTTTCCCGCTGCTCTACAGCAAGGGCATTTTTAGGTTTTCTGCACTTCTTACAACCGGAGAATGCAGTGCTAGTAGCAGCGCCTGGGTCCATCTGATTCCATATTAGATGATTTTTAGGTGAATTCGGGGCCCAGAGCCAGGCTGTGGCTTCCATCATCAAGGGTACTGTCAGGGCCATGTGTTCCTGTCTTCCTCGTAGAGTAGGAAGGAAAAAGAGGCTCATCCATTTGTTTTAGGTTTGGTGTGTGTTCCCATAGAGCTGCACACAGCGTCCTCTTAAAACTCAGTCTTTGCAGTTTTTGTCTTTTGTTTGTGCTTATCCATCCTGTATATTTAGGGTTTTTCTTTCCTTTATGAGTTTCATGAAGGGATTGCTTTCAAAAATCAGCTTCTGGGTATATTTATGCTTTCTACC